ATCCATTTAGAATTCCACTCTCAGAAACTATCCATTCAGCATCCTTCTGTTACTTTCGAAACGTTCTACTCAACTGTGTTATAAAGTTATGCCTAAGCCTATATTCTGTCTTAATGTTCAATTGATCATTCTCAGAACCCATCCAATTGCAAACACTATTATGCAGTTATGTTGTGCCATATTATGCTCAACCGTGCTGTTTTGCACATTTATGCCGAGAAGATATTCGTGACGAGATAGTTGAAATGGTCGAAAAACTGAAAATCAGTACACTAAACAAGCATTGCCCTATCACCTTCAACCATCCGCTGTAATGAATTCCATAATTTTCGCCGTTTTCTTCTTAAAAAAAAAACTATCAGTGCACAATTGATTAATGTTTTGTTGCAAAACGACTTTTGCAGACCAGATTAACCGGTTTGTCACTGAAGAAATCTATTGATGTAACATCATGGTTAGCGATGATCTTGCAACGTGACTGACGAATGCTCGAATGTTTACCTTGAAATAAGGACATAAACATGTTAGAGTCATGCAGTCATATGGGTGACTGGCAACTTGACCTCGTGATCCAGGCAGCACTGGTCCAGGTTGCAAAAAGTCGGGTGGCTGAACAAACTCCGTTTCGTTTACTGTACTATCTCGACGAGATCGCTGCATCTGAAACCAGAAACAGCTCAGTGCTCATCTAATTCAGTTAGATCACCCGAAACAAAAACCGTCCCCTGAAGTAGTGTTCAGCCCCAGCCCGAACCTATGCCTCAGGCAGAAATCCAATATGAGGTTTGGATAAATCATTGTATATTGCTCAGCATTTGACGGCAGCAAAAGACCTGACGTAATTCGATGCCTGTAGTTCTGTAGTTCGACGCTTGTGGATCACCTTAGAAAGATGATAACAAGAGTGACAGCAGTTGGAATTTTTTTCAAACACCGAAAAGTCCTCATTACTACCTGCATTATGAAGAGTTGAAGGTGTATCAATCAAAACTGTAACCAAAATAGTATCGCAAAGAATGCTAATTGTAAGTGGGTTTTGGACTCGATGCTAATTCTTCAGGTGGATATTAAACCTCACCGTTTCAAGCGACAAAGAAGTCCCTTCGAAGATGAAATTTCGGAAAGTAACAACGAAATCAGTATTCGATCTCTAGATCAATCAGAGTTGAGGGCAGCAACTGAGCCAGATGTGCTGCTCAGAGCGATTACAGATTTTGCCGTTTTTTCACTTATATTCATCAATTCTTTCCTTCTAGCGTAAAATGAAATGAAATTCTACAGTTTCACATTAATTTTAGTCATCATACATCCAGGAAGTCACCAGCAAAACAAACGAACAGAACTCGAATCGATTCAAGTAGAAAAAGGTTTACAAAAGGTAATTATTTGCTATGAATGTTGCATTCAACTGAACGAATACAATCACATTATGTTCTACCCATAAAAATGTTGTAAAAGCAAAATTGGTATTAGTAAACGAAACACACATTCCAGTTCACTTACAGACAAACAAACTTGTCGAGCCTGTTTCGTTGGAGCTTTACTGCAGTCTAGCTGAAATCGTAATGTTTTTTCATTACGAGCGGAAACTATTCCAAAAATGAACAGAAGAAATATGAGAAATAGCTGGTGTTTTTGTTGTTGTGGAATCATCTCTCTGGATTCACTGCAAAATCACAATAATTTCAGTGTTAGGAATGCAATTCTATTGGAGAAACGATCTGATTTGATGAAAATGATCAGAAGATTACACGTAACGCTTAAAATTGAAGAAGGTTGGAAAATTTTTTTTGGAAATTTCTTCATGCCTAATAGAACATCGAAGTGAACAGTCAGTCAATCAATGGAAACAACTTTCACCTAATCCGGCGGTAAACTGCCATTCAGGAAAGTGAGCAGATTCATGCAGAAAAGTTAGAAAGAACATCTCTTAAGATTTATATTCGTGAAGAATTCACTTCAGATGTGGCAGGTGAAGTTTTGATACATTTCGAAATAGCCGAAACAATAAGTTACTGTGTCCATCCGTATGGACAATGGAACGGAACTATAAGGCCAGAAAGTTGAAGAATACGAAAGATCAAGAGCCAATACTTCAGTGTCACCTTGAAAATGAATAAACACGTGCGCACACCTCAGTCATTACCTTCGATGAATACGTCACAAAGTATGCATTTTAAACAGCATAATTCTAGTCAATGGATTGACATCAAATGNGATTGATCTGTCGCTTCAGTGATTCAGCTCACCTACGGCATTGTTAGAATACCGTTGAACACTGACAATGAATTAGTTCCAGAGGGAGTACTGAATTTTCAGTTGAATGAGTGAAGAGCTCGGCTGCATGTAGAGCAATCATGAGTGAAATGAAATTGAAGAGGGGCAAGCTGCTTTCACTTTTATAGTATGTACAAGATAAAAGGGTAGCTTTTTTTTAGAGGACGTGAATAAATCAGACAACAAGATACAACGTAGTGGAAGGCATGCAATTTATAAGGTGAACTCACCATCAGCTAAATAACAAAATGACAAACATATTTTGGAACAAAATTGGAACGACTCTATGCAACTGTAAAAAATGAATGCCCATTCATATGAAAGAAGCTTTCAGAAACCTGACTTGCTCACTTTCTCAATGAGAACAACGTTAAACGGATGAGAAATGCAGACACGAATCAGGAATCGGTTATCCGAAAGTGAAAAATTGTTTATGAGGAAGAACAGCAAACCAGAAATGGATATGAATCAAAAAAAAGGCTGAGGAAACGATTATTTAATGGTGATAACGAAGACGATTTATGGAGGTTATAGTATCAAAAAAACAGATAAGTGGAAGGAGGAATAGCATCACCTTATTGAAATTGCACAAAGGGAAAGAATACCATTATGAGCAGATAAGCTCTTATTTAGAACTAGCATGGTGGCACGGATCAAGGCTGAAATGATCGGAAGCGAAACTTGATTTTGAGATGCTCAGAAACGACAATTGCACGAATGGATGATCAAAAATGAATGAAATGAATTGCGGAAAACTGGTATGACGGAGCGATTTTGTGTGCTAGCATGGGATCAGAAAGTGAAAAAAGACACTTGCAAAGCTAAATTGGGTTTGAAAAAAAAATGAATGAAAGTGACATTGGGAAGTCATGAAAAGATTCCATACGATAAAGGTAGACGGTGTCATTGAGCAGCGGAAACCGGTATGATATCTAA